TTGATGTTTGTTTAGTTAGAGCAGTAGTATGAGTTAGTTCGCTGACTTGTTTTTCTAAGTTGGCAATCCGATCTCTAGATTGCCCGACATCTCCTTGAGCACAAATGTAGTTGTCGACAGCTGATAGTTCAGCTATTGGCGAAATATATAGCGCTAAATAACAAATTTCTTTGCAACTACAGTAACTGAAAAATAAGCCGTTGATTGTGTACTAAAATACGGTATGATGTTTTATCGTAATGTGCTGTACCAAATCAAATCAAATCAAATCAAAGCTTTATTTTCCAATAGACATTACAAATGCATGTGGAATGGTCAAAGAAGGTATTATGTTGGTATTACCTTTGTATGTATTAAACAAATGAACTCTCTGTAATTCGAATGGTTTATTTTTCTCCCGATAAATCGAACTCTTGATAATTCAAAACTCTTGATAATTCTAATTTATATGCTTGGCCCACCAATTTCGAATTATCAAGAGTCTACTGTATATCCATGATGTTATTGGAGTTCCACGAAACATTCCATTCCTTGCTTTAAACATCCTTCATAGCTAAAACACCATAATACTCTTTTTAAACAAGGCTTTACCTCTCTTTGTGTTAAAAATACGTTTTAAAATGGTCTTATGGTCTGTTAAATATTTATCAAGTCTCAAATACAATAGACAATTTTGACAGATAAAGATATACAAAAGATCTGGACCAAAGACTGCTCTCAGATGATTTTTTACACTAGCAAAGCTCGGTCCCCTGGTACTTCTTTTAAAGTTGCAACACATAAGATTATAGTGGTAATGAAAACTTGGGGGGACACAGTCCTAGATCGATACTAAAATGGAAATAAGGAGGTACGTGAAAATTATTGACCAAAAAGTATCGATCAGACGGAAGATTTACAAATACATTAAGTATATATGTACAAAAACCAAACATTAATTGAATTTCAAACAATATAGTTCAGCAGATTCTTGGTCTTTGGGCAAAGCACAATAATTCCATTCACCAATATAGATAACCACCACATTCAATATACATCTATTGGAGGTTTTAAAGGGCACCAAAATTCAAATTACACATTTTGACAGACTTACTTCAAGATAACTACACGATAGAAAGTACACTTTCGATTTTTCTTAGAAAGTCGCCACAAGTGTTTTGTTGATCTTTGGATGCTGCTCCAGATAATCTGAGTGGTAGACATGCGATCTAGGAAGTGGAGATAATAGTCCAGTTGTCTCTGAGTCAGCGAAGCATTGCTTCCTTCTGTTGACAAACATGCGTCTCCGACATTTAATTTTCACTTGTATTGTCTTCGGTTACGAAACACATCTGGGGGAGGATGGGTAAAAACACATGAACAAGTTGGTAGGGCTTAGTCTGCTGTCATTGGGGAAGTGAGCAAGATCTAGCATTAGGTTTTGAAAGGTAAGAGAGTTTATTTAGTTTTAGATATTGTAAGATATATTATTCTTTTCAATATGAAATAAGTTTAAAAATACTGATGCTTGTAGAATGTTTATTCGTATTAATATGTTTTTTAATCACAAATTAACTTATTTACCTAATTCAAATTATGTAAATTATAAAAATATTCTTATATTATTAATTACTTGAATATTCTTTTTAATTATTCAACACATTTAAATAAATATAGGCATGTAGAAACACAAGTCCCTAAAATCAACAAGTTATTGTTATATTTAAACTAACTAAAAATCAAACAATCTTTCACGCAGCAGCTCTGAAAATTGTAAGTTAATCATTTTTAGATCACTTTAGTGAAAGCAGAATTAATCGAAATTATTTGTTGATTAGTTACCAACTTTAATTAAAAGTATAACTACAATGGTAGTGTAATCACTTGTTTAATGTAAACAAAGCAGAAGTTTTTTGATCCCAATGTATTTTAAATAGAATATATTTTTTGTTATTTCTCCTTTTCTGGTAGATTTGGATATATAATCTGCTATTTTCCTCGACTCTCTGGGACCAAGACCTTTAGTTTGAGCTCTCTCCCATCATCCTGCGAGCTGTCAAACTCTCACAATTTAGATTTTAAAACATTCCTTACATAACTAATAATATAGATTATCAACAAAAAGGATGCTTGGGTTCCTAAATATTCAAAGGACCTATGTGATGAATATATTTTTATAATTATTTAATGATTTGATACTATAATAAATTAAAATAAAAAAATTTGAGACTAGGATTTTAAACACAATAATTTATAAATAAAAAAAACTTTTCTAAAACAAAACGTTTTTAAACACACTAAAAAGTAGAAAATAATTTATAAATATGTGGAGAATATAAATACTTGTAAGATTTAAAACGAAAAACTGGGGTGCATGCAATAGATAATTTACAATTACCTTCACCTATTGAACTAACGTATTATTATCAATTGCATGCACCTAACGTTTTTAGTTTTAAATCTTACAAGTATTTATGTTCTCCACATATTTATAAATTATTTTCTACTTTTTAGTTTTTAATGTGTGTGGATGTTAAATCCATTTCAAGCATCTATATCAGATTAAGACAGAGGCATGTGGGAAATCTAAGGTTTATTTGAGTTTCTTTTCATATTAGGTATTATGTATTAGATTGAATTTATGACCTACCTACTAACTATAAAAATCTAATATACTAAAAAACTTATGCAAAACTTATGACAGCTAGCCTGACCATACCACTGGACCAAATTACACGTGGTTGGTACTCAGAATCCCTTTATAAATTGAATTAAGCTCACAAATAAGCACGAAAAATGAATTTGAAATCTTAAAAAAAAATAACATGGGTCTTATGGATTGCCATGGTGATGGCAAAATCAAAACAAATGGAAGATATTCCAATCACATGTTTTATTTACAGTGTGTGGGGAAAATAGAGAAGTCTGTGCATTAAATATTTTTGGTTGGGTTTTCAACCACGGGGCGACCTCTATTAACATAAAAATACTTATGGAGACTTTTCTTGGAGATTTAACATGGGACAAAATTTTAAAGCTTACGACAGTTAGCCTGACCATACTACTGGACCGAATTACACACGGTTGGTACCAAATGTAATTGTCTGTATATTTGTCCATTTTGCTTCGATTTCAGATATTACTTGACCAAGTGTTATAAAAACAGAAATTAAAAATCTATTGACAATTTAACATAGGTAAAACTTTAAGTCTAATAGGAGTGAGGTCTGGAGATCTATTGGACAGATTTACATGCAGGTTGTGTGAAATGAAATGTTTCCCATGTGCCTGAAAAGTCTACTATTCCTTTAGTGAATCTTAAATATTAAAAAGCTTTTGGAAAAGTTATGACAATTAGCCTGGCTGGCCATATTACTGGGCCGATAAACACATGCGTTGTACTAAAGAAGGTTATGGAAAAAATTCTAATCGCATGTTTTATTTACAGCGTGGGGTTACTTAAAATAGAGAAGTTTGCACAATACATACTTTTGGTCAAGTTTTTGACCACGGGGCGAGCTCTCGTATCAATTTATTTATTGTTTATCTAATTTATTGTTTACTTTATAGAATACTAAATAAATAACAAATGAAATTATTAACAAACACCTTTATATATATGCAATCAGATTGTTTATCTTTATTTTGAAATATTTGTTTGCATAAAGAATCTCCGGGGAGCAACTTGTACCTCTTAACCTCTGCTCTTCGAACTGTCAAATTAAAGTATTTACAGCTGACTTAAATTAAATGATATATTTACATTCTTTCAAAATGTAAACATGGAAAATTTGGAAGCCCATGGGGCGTAGCCCAAGGGAAATATGAAAATTACATGATAAAATATTGCATTGTCATCCATTTGTGAGCTATGTTTCAAATTTCAAGTCTCTAGCTCAACGGGAACTTTGTTTAAAATTGATATCAAAATTTGTAGGAAAGCGACTAGCGAGCTAATAAAAACAAGCCCATGGGGCGTAGCCCAAGGGAAATATGAAAATTAAATGATATAATATTGCATTAGCATCCATTTGTGAGCTATGTTTCAAGTTTCAAGTCTCTAGATCATCGGGAACTTAGTATAAAATTGATTGCAAAAATTGTACAGGACAAGAAAGCGAGCTAATAAAAACGTTTTAAAAATACATAAATTTGTAACCAGGCAATCTAATATATAAAATTCTCGTGTCACAGTGTTTGTCTGCAAACTCCTCCGGAACGATTTCACCGATCGTAATGAAATTTGGTGTGTAAATTCTGTAGGTATGCGAATCGGACGTAAACTATTTCCCGTTTCGAAATTCTTAAAAGGGCTCCGCCCCAGTGGCTCTGGAGTTTCCCATGTTAACCTTATGAGAAATGGAATTAATGAATCTTAACAGCTGTTTCAATTAAACAAGTTGGTTCTGATCTATGATGTTCAATAGCATTAAAGTTACAAGGATTACCAACAGGGTGCAGCACTATTATTTCTTTTACATTTATGACAACAGCTAATTTGCAACCAAAAGGTGAGTGAGCGTAGCGAACGAACTTCAACCTGGAGGCGAGTGAGCGTAGCGAACGAGCTAACCTGGAGGCGAGTTAGCGTAGCGAACGAGCTCCAACCTAAAGGCAAGTGAGCGCAGCGAACGAGCTCCAACCCAAAGGTGAGTGAGCGTAGCGAACGAACTTCAACCAGGACGTGATTGAGCGATGCGATTGAGATCATCTTGAAAATTGAACGTAACGGTACTTTCTTTCCATCGGTCTGTCTTAGGGGAAACCTATAACTTAGGCGATACGAAGTTCGCCGGGTCAGCTAGTTGCAATATAAAATATTCAATCACTAAAATATGCTCAACAAAATTTAAGTTTGTAAGTTATTTTAAAATCATCAACCATGGCTATTAAAATATAAAATATCAAAGTCAAACCAAGCATTTAATTTAATTTAGCTAGCAAAAAGTTAGTACCTTTTAAATAAAAAAGATAACTAAAAAAAAAAAAAAAAAAAAAAAAAAACTTAACAGTACCGTCTTTACAGTCATTACTTAGGTCTTAGTTGTAGCTTTAATTTACTCATCTCTATTCATACTTGGCTTAAAATACCTACTTTATATGGTCACCATTTAGTAAGAAAGTATTAAAGTTAAAATAAACCATGCTAGCCATGTTACTAAGTCTTGCTAATAATGTTGAAATACAATTTCGTGCACTACTGAATAAAAACTTGTGATGTTGACTAAACTACCACCGCCAGGGAGGGAGTAGGTCCTTTATTGTTTTCCCTTTGTATAAGGCAGATTCTTGTAACTGTTTACAGATGTGGTCCTACATCCCCCTGGCCCTATTGGCCTGTGTGTTGGTGTCTGCAGAAACCCAGAGTGAGAGGGAAGAGAAAGCCATGGACCCAGGAGCTGCTAGATCCATGTTGGCAGACATTGCTAAGGAGCTAATAGCACGGTCTGGCACTAGCAGTCAGGTTAGCCAAAACATGTCTTAGTTCGTAACAAAAAAAAATGCTGCTGAAGGTCTGATGTTTTAAGTAGTGGAAAAATTTATTTTTCAAAATAAAATTAACAAAACCATGTTTATTCTAGAAAAGATACTGGGGAGTTAACTGGTCTAGAGGTAGATGGCGGGACTTATATAAGAAAGTTAATTTATTGAATCATTTAGACAACTAGCGGTACCTGGCTAACATTCTATTTTAATTGCGATCAATAATTTATTTTATTCAGTCCCCAAGCATCATGACTATACATGGTCTAACAACTAAGCACAGCATTACTTCTATCCATTTAATCTGGCTGCTTTAGGCAGGCATTTAGGCATTTCCACCAATTTTTATCCTCTCATTTACAACGATATTTACTATAGTCTGATCCTAACAGGTTCTTAGTCTCAACCTGACCAATATGATCATCCTGCTAGTGCTGAAGGGGTTGCTGCTAGGGGCGGCCATGTGGGGTACAGGAGCGTGGAAGGGACGCAGTGTAGACGAGGTTGTGTCACCCCCCTCCATATCACTACTGACAGAGTCTGAGCTGGTGTTGCTCATTAGCTACTTAATGGGTGAAGGAGACAATAAGTACGATTGCTTTCTGCGAGTCGCCTGCCAGGAGCCCAAGAAGGCCAGGGAGTATTTGGCTGCTGGTACCATGTTGATCAAAGGAGCCAAAGCCATGGGGAAGTAAGTAAAAAGTGCATTATTTAATAATGCACTTTTTAATATTATTTAATAATGTTGGGTAGTGAAATTTTCTTCTTCACCAACACCATTTGAGGTTCATTCATTCTCCTTCAAGGTTCATTCATTTGAGATGGGGACGCCACATATGTGTGTATTTTAACCCAAATATGAGCGAAGCATGAGTGTAGAATAGTGTCATGCCTTATGTAGCTTTGTTACTCACTGAGACCACATGTTTCAATAGTCCGGAGCATTTTTTGAAATGGTTGTATAGTATTGTATTGTTGAGGGTGGACTCAGGGTCCCAGCAAGTCAACCGAAGCTTATTGTGCATGCCATGCCGCTAACTAGGCAAGCTGTCCTTGACCAGGTCCGTGAGCTTTGCCCAATGTTAGCTTTTGACCAAACAGAGTCGTTCTCCTAGAACCATGTTTGTAGCAATCCAGAAAGATGTGCTTTGCAGTCTCAACAGGCTGTTTGCTAAATCGACACTCCCGGTTGTCATTGTTGATTACCAGAGTTTAAATATGTTTGCTGAAATACCAGGGTTAATCAGACCTGGTTGCCTATGACTGGAGTTTTTTAGTCTTCACCCCCAAGAGGTGTGGTTAGCTAGCATATGCGTTATAATTCTCTGGTATCAAACATGTAGTATGCTATGTGATCCTAGTCCTTACTTGAACTTCTGGATTACAAGTTAATGACTTATCACCTCACTATATGAACTGCAATAAAAATTGACACCCTGGAGAGCGATGAATATTACTGTTAAGACTTGTGATTTTAAATATAGCAATTATTTAATACTCAAATTCTGTATTGTAACCAATAAAAACCTTTTCATTATAAGTTTCCCCATGTACTTTTGATAGTATTCTTTTTTTAATATGCTTGATATAAATACATTTGTTATTGAATTTACAGCCTCGAGTAGTGCTATTTCGCATTTAGTTTAAATTTAGGAGTATTTTCAGAACCCTTCTTTCTATCTCTAATTTTGTTATGAAAATCACCTAATCGCAGCTGAAATACAGCTTGACAATGAAGGTATCAGACCAGCTATCAGCTGGATTATTAACTTATTAGGTCTTGAAGAATAATATTGTACAAAACTATAATCCTTTGTGTCCCCTAACAGGATTATCCCAGTCAACCCTAAATATGAGAGGTTACTGCAAGAGCTACACAGAGCGGTACAATACAGCAGTTCAGGAGGAGTATGTGATCAGAGGTATTCCTGTGGCCAGAACAATGTGTAGCTAGCGAACAACCTTCAAATCTCAAACTTTGCAGCGACTGCTCCAACAATCAAAGTGGAAACTACTCAAGATATTAAGATAAATTAAGGTCCGTGAGTTAAACCCACTTGTTACAATTGACTGAAACTGTTATGCTTTTTTGTTGAATAAATGTTATCAGTATTAGATTGTTATTAAATGTCCGAGTGACTTATAATCAATGTTTCATACTTAACAGGTTTATTTTTTTAACCGCTAAAGACCAATAAGAATCAGAAACCATTCTGATTCTGATGTGTATATTCTGTATCATATTCGGGCATTAAGACCAAGGCATGTGAGAGGCCACAGAGAAGCAAAGAAGGAAGATACACTCCATGGTACATTCAAGTGGTATCTAGCACTAGTGCTAGTGTCTAGGACAAAGACTAACACCACCCCCCCTTGCCATCAAGTAGGCAAAAGGTGGAGGAAGACTTTGAGCCCTGTGCGATAGGAGTTTCTGCACAGAGTTTGCCGATTGGGCTCTTCCTTGCTTGTCACAAATTCCGCCCAAACATACCAGGACTAAAAGCACACGGTTGTCTCATAACTGTATTTTCTCTATACAATACTTCTGTGGTTACACCTACTTGATGACGGGAGTGCTGCTTGCCAGTCAGTCAGTAACAAAAGTGATGTTGTTATATTTTTTACTAAACAAGTAATTTCTAATCGTTTGTAGGCCACATACATAACAATTATTATATGCAAGCAATCATTTTAAACTTTGACAAGGTTATTTGCAAACAATCTTTTTCACTACCACTACTTTTTTATTCCGTAAATTCACTACAGAACTTACTTTTCCAGTTTAGTTATGAAAGGTTGGATCTGACATATTCAAACATGTTTACTAAACAGTAGTGAATTAACAGAAACAAAAATAAGATAATGATAGTGATAGTTCATTAACATAAAAGGTCCCAATAATGATCATATTTAACATTAAAATCAGTCTTTGGCAAGAGACAGCTCTCCTATTATTTACATGCTGTTATACAACAGGTTGGATTAACATAGAAAACTGCTGTTATTGATAGGCAAAATATGAACTCTGTATCCAAACATGGCAACCTTTAGTTCTAAAAATTCTACGTTAAAAAAATGTTAAATAAGAAATAATGAATCTGTAATTTTGTAAAGGAAATACTTTCTCAGGAAATACAGTCTCACTCAACTATAACTGTATAAATAACAATATATATTTTACATCCAGCAATAAGCCGTTAAAAAAATACAATGTATAAATAAATACCAACAATAATGATCAAGTCATGTCAGCTGGAGTGCTTTTTCGTCAATTTCATGGTCAAGGTGAAGATGTGATCTAGCTTTGAACTTTTCCAGTCGTTGTAACCAGTGTTTCCAGTAGATCTGGCAGTGTTTGGGAGCCAATAGGAAGACATCACAAGGATCCCCACTGGTGTATGCCACTGCTACTAGGCCATGGTCCACCTGTCACAAGGAAAGCGCAAAAATGTAATAAATTTTATCCTTCTGCTTCACATTCTAGGACACTTGTTCTACTTACACATAATTTCAGGCAAGGCCTAAACGGTTGCAGCATTATCATTAAGATAAAAATCCATCAGTCACTATCGTGATTAGAGCCCGAGATCTCGTCTGGCCAAAGTCCCTCACTCTACTCTTTATACATGCTCGCTCCAGATGGGTAGGCCTAATATTAGGCCATACGTAAACAAAGATATTCGTCTAATATGTAGGTCTAATTAGTATTAGACAATGATTTGAACATTAAATGGTGTTATAGCTTATAAGAAGTGTGGGCAGTCGGTAAAACAGAGGAACTGAGGTGAGGGATGATGCCAGAAACCATGTTGAGCATAGGGCTGATAAGCTATCCAGCTATACCATGGAGTAATTAGGACCCAAAAGCTATCCAGGTATATCAAGTTAGATTATTTCTGAAGCATACAACTCAATTATGTACTCATGTTCAATCAGTAGAAAATAAGGTGGAATACAGATTTGAAAAGTACATGTTTTTTTACTTTAAAACAAAAACAGTTTAAATACTTACAGCCCATTTGTAATTAGGGTCGTGGTTAATGGCACCAATATAAGCTGTTACTTGGACAGGAGCGTCATATGTGTCTTTCAGATCTTTCTTCGGCTTGTCTGACAACTTCCAGTCTATTACCACAGGAATATTTCTGAAAAAATATTACAAATCAATCATACAGTTGACTGAACTCTATTTTACCTAGGATGTCAAGATGCTTTGGAGTAGTGGTGTACAGTAACTATTCTATACTCTATGCTAGTTGCTAATTCCTATAGGGCTATTCATTCATCTGAATGTTTTGCAATATATTTTTAAACCAATAATAACAAATTAATAGGATTTATGGTTTTTTTTTAGAATTATGGGTTTTTTTAAATAGTTTTAAATTAAAGTAAAAGTGTGTACGTCTTTAAACACTTGGTCTGGGAAAAAATCTTATATGTGTAGGAATATTGTGTTAAGACTCTCGGGCCCGGATCACCCTACATCATGGTGGAAGCGAGTAAAGTCTTCCACCATGACTTTCCGTGTTCTTCTTTGCATCCACATTTTTTTTTTTTTTTTGTGGGGTTGGGGTAATAGCCTACCCCTAGCTACTTCGGCCTGGAGACCTTTTGTAGCACCCTTTAATTCATTCTGACATCCACATCAATTGGTATACTTATCTTCCACAAAAAAAAAAAACCAAAATCTTCCCAACGCCAGACCTCACTTTCTTAATTACATCACTTTATCGGCTTATCTGCCTTTACAACCCCGACTTCCAGCTCTTTCAGCTGAATCATCTTTTCACTATTTAACATATAGCCTACCACATACACCATGTTTCACCTTTTGGAATTTTCCTCTTAGATGACCAATCGCTTAATTTAAACTTCGCTCCCTTGCTTCTCCAAACCCCCACCCCCCACCACCTGTCACATACTGGCCTCTAGGCTTGTCCATATTTTCAACCTTCCTTACCATACTCAACCTCCTAAACTCCTTTCCCTCTGGGGCTTTGAGGGTCAATACTTTTAATGACCCGAATTACTTCTTCGGGTAATTCAACATACTACAAATTTAGACACACAATTAGCAGTATATCACGCTTATTTTTCTTCCATCATGAATTACGGTTTAACAGTATGGGGTTCTTCTAGTCATGCCGAACAAATTTTTATCCTCCAGAAAAGAGCAGTTATAGTCTTAGCCAAAGTGTATCGAATTACTCACATTAAAGAGTTTTTCATTCGGTTTAAAATTCTTACTTTGTATAGTTCTTATATCTTTAAACTGGCTTTAATGGTTAAAAGTGATTTTGCCACATTCATGGAAGATCAACATGAACATCCTCATAACACTAGATTTAAAAACAATATAAAACCAGTTCAGCACAGACTTAAAGTATTCCATTTATCTCCTCAGTACATGGGCCCAAAAATATATAACAAATTACCTTCTTCAATTAGGGACACTGATTCATTCCCTAAATTTAAATAAAAAGAAGTTAAAAACTTTCTTTTGGAGAAGGCCTTATTCTCATTGGAGGAATATATGGAAGCTGTGTAGATGTTAAGGCTCAGCATATGAAATTTATTTTGGTAATAGTTTTAGGGTACTTTCCTGTTAAAGGGAACATTCATTATTATCGATTTTTTTCTCGATATATCGATATTAACAAATTTAAACATATCAGCTGACAAATACGATAAATATTGTTCAGTATCAACAAACAATAATGAAATGAAATTGTTCTAAAAAAAATAACCTAACGTAACTAACCAAACTTGCTGTGTAACATTCCATGTTTAACTTGCCTTTTCTGTTATCAAAAGGAATTTTTAAATAGTACAGCAAGTTTGGTTGGTTATGTTAGGTTAGCTTAGAACAGTTTCATTTCTTAATCCATATAATAGACTATTTTAGCCAAAACAAGATCAGTTGTCAATATGTAATAGATTGGTAAACAAAAATATCGATATATCGAAAAAATCATCGATAATAATGAATGTTCCCTTTAACAGGAAAGTACCAGTTTTAGAATAGAGACTATAAAGTATTGTAACAATGACGTATCACCTGTCTGAATATGATGTTATGTGATTATTTAAAAATAAATAAATGCGGCCACTGGCAGTCTCAAGCCTGCAAAATGAGTTTAGCTCTTGAACGCAGAAAAAGTATTAAAAAGACAATATTATTTCGTTAAAGCTAGTTTTTATTGCACTATTATATTGTTAAAAGAAATTTAATAAATATAAACAGCACAAAGCCAACTGTAAACAAACAACAAACCTGAATAAAAGTATGAAATTGAGACTAAAAATGTCTGTTAATTTTAGCTTTACACTTCTTGTAAACTCACTGTCAATTATTATTTTTATCAACATTACAATTACATTTTCATTTCAACCTCGATATTGTCACAAGAAATAAATAGTCAAGAACCCAACTATGATCTTAGCATTAACGAGGGATCTCAGAACCAGGGTTGCCATCTTTGGTTAGGTAAAAAAAAGGGACAGCTCTCCTTCACCCTGGGATCAATACAGATTGAAATAAACAACTCAGTCCTTATGAACAATGACTTCAACTTGAATATGGAGGTTTAAGCTATAAAACTACATAGATTGTTGCTACCACACAACTGACCTGAACAGCGCCACACAGTCAAACACGCCCTTGTAGCCAAGTGTGGGATGAGCGATGACACTCTCCACAGCCATGGGATGAGTGACCTCGTCTAACAGCCACGACAGACTGTTGAGTGCATTCCTAGTCACCTCACTACACTCCCCCACCTCTCTGTTGAGTACCCTGTGTAGCACTGCAGCGTGGAACTCCCCACCTCGCGCCTTCGTGGCTGCACAAATAGTTACATATTACACTGTGTGAAATGATAACATGTATACACCTGAATTACAAAAAATAATTAGTTATTGAATGAATAAAAATGAAAAATTTGAGTTTAAATATATTTGGTTTAGTAAATTCCTTACATGATAGCGATTTTAAGGTCCATTACATGGTCAATACCCATAAAATAATTTGCTGCTTTACAACCATCCATTTGATGGTACATACAGGGTGTTAGAGATACCGGGATTTGAAACCGTTGTGCTCGGGGACTATTCAAGATAATTAAATGATTTAAACGTCAAATTGAAGGGAAAAGAACAAAGTTTTTTTCTCATACTTTGATACAATTTGGAATAATTTAATAAAATTCAGATTTTCATCCAATCTTATATGAGGGTAAAACTGGCTTAGTCTGTACGCTTAGGGCGATCGGTGGGTTTATCTGATGTCTTCTAACTGAATCTTTTTAAGCACAAAGACTTTATCTTTTACAAAAAACATCATGAAGTGTTTATTTAGGTATGTTCAACTGACTTCGTCAGGCATTCGATTTTTTGGGGCTTCTGATGCAGAATTGTCAGATTTCTTCGACTATGTCATCGCTTGTTTTTAGCTGGCCAGGTGAATGTCTTTTCAAAACACTACGGTACTACAAATCTCATTAAAGCAGCGTCAAATTTCTTTATCATCAAGTAGATTTAAATTTAGTTTAATTTAGCAATCAATAAAAACTCTGAAAACCACGGATTACACTTTGTGCCTTCTGTTGCGCCGTAAAAATTGCACTGGCGACTGGATTCAGGCGCGTGAGTTGCAATAGCGGCCTTCCACCCCGAACCTGTTTTGCGCATGCCAAGGTCAACGTTTCCTCCCTTGCCACATGGGAAACAGAACTTAGTTAGCTTAGCTTCAATTTGACCTATAACACGTTTAGTTACCTTGAATAGTATCCAAGCAATTACCATTTTAAAACCCGGCATTCTTTTATAAACACCCTGTATAAGTGCAAAGGTCCCACATCTTTCTCTTTTAGGAGTGGAAAATGTATATCTTATTCTTTCTCTCATATGTACTAATAGACAATGTTTTTCACACAAACTCTATGAAGAAATGACAATGATCAAATCTGGGTTTGTTGAGTCCATGATTTGAGGCTATCTACCTCTACCAGAGTATCAATCCACTTATTTGGGATATATTTAAAGAAAAAGATTTGCGGCAACCTTCTTTTTCAGCTATGAGGGGGCTACAATAATGATGGATAATTTTGAAAATTTTGCCCCTAGGGGTAGCGGGGGTAGGGGATAGCTAAAAATTTTAAAATAGCAAGATTAGTCGAGTTTGGTATAATTTTACAGGTCTTGAATAAATTAAACAATTGACATAAAGAAAACCAAAATCAGACCACTAACAAAATGGTGCCATAAAATGTTTCAAATCCAATAACAATGAGGGTGGCTGAAAATTAACTTACACCCACCTTCAATTTTTAACTATTTGAAATCGGTTTACGGCAACATGTTTAGATATGATGTGATAAAATAATGTTAGTTTATTTTGAAAATTTGCCTTAGGGGTAGTGGTGAGGGGGCCCCTAAATGTTACTTATTAATAACCATTGTTTAATCATTTTTATCTTCCATTTTGTTATTAGTGGTTCGATTTCAATTTTCTTTATGTCAATTGTTTAGTTTTGTGAGGACATGTAAAATGATACCAAACTCGACTATGCTTGCCATTTGAAAATTTGAGCTACCCCTTACACCCGCTACCCCTAAGGGCAAAATTTTCAAAATCAACCATAATTAATATAGTCTCTTGTTTCTAAGAAGGTTGCCGCAAACCGATTTCAAATATCTCAAAAGGTTCAAAAGTTAAGGAGGATGCAAGTTACTTTTCAGCCACCCTGTATAAAAGACAATAATATTTTACTTTGCCATCAAAAGAATGAGCAAGAACTACATGTTATAATACTTATTACAGATAGATAAAACTACTCTCTTCTACATTCAGTGTAGGCTGGATCTCAAATTAGTCTACACAGGATTTACTCTGAAACAACTTCTACTCCCTGCGATCAAGAGAACTCTTGTCTACCGAATTTTATGCAAAATTATAAATAATTACATTTCCTTTTTACGAAATAAGTGGTGTACGTTCTAAAAGAACCTAGATCCCCAATTTTCCGAGTAAAAAAATCTTTAATCTTGTATCCTGTAAATGAACAAAGAACAAATAGTGATATTTAATAGAAAATAAGAAGGGAGCCTTAAATGAGTACGGTACTGAATTAGACAGGTTACTTATTTCAACAGGGTTATAATTCTTCAAGAAGAACTGGTAATATTGGAATTAATATTAATTTGAAATAACAACTTCACCAATGTTTCTGAATTTTTAATATCAATGATTTATCGCCTCTTAAATACCCCACTGTCCCAAGAAAATTATAATAAAGAGCTTAACTACATAAAAGACGTGGCTAAGTATAATGGATATGAAACCAAAATTGTAGACAATATGTTGACCAAAGCTTTAAAAAGAAATGATAAAAAGAAAAGAACTAAACTGGAACCAATCAAAGTAAAGAAGAAATGGGTAAGCACTACCTATACTAAGCAATATAAAGACGTCAAGAAAACGTTTCAGAAAAATGCTGAATTAATGGTTTAATTTAAAACAAAAAACAAAATTAAAAACATTCTTGGAAATCCAAAAAGTAAATTAGAAAATACAACAAAATCTGGCATTTATCAAATTCAGTGTGACAGTTGTGAGATGAAGTATCTTGGACAAACAAAAAGAAATATTAAAACTAGATTCAAAGAACACACTTCTCACATAACACACAACAGACCTGAAAAATCAGCAATAGCAAAACATTGCTTAGAAACAGACCACACAATATCAATCAATAATACTAAATTAATAAAAAATATAACAAAATCCAATGAACTAAATTCATGGGAATCATTATTTATAAATAAAATGGGCAGTTTGGTAAATAATGATAACGGTCCAATTAAAAAATTACATTACTAAATTCTAAATTTACAAAGTTATAAGCTAATTCTACTTTATATTTCATTTTTATACATATATTTTTGTAATTTTAGCTAAATGTACTTAACAGAATAGTTTTTATTTTTAACTACCCATATGTTACATTCTTTAAAGTTTATAATTGTATTTTTTAAACATAAACATAACCTTCAGTTTTGTGATGTGTCTGATGATGCCAGCATAGCTGGCAAAAGGTCTCATGAAATTAAAAATTCAGAAATATTGGTGAAGTTGTTATTTCAAATTAATAGGGTTATAATTAATCTGTAATGTGAACTAAATCTATATCTATAAAAGAGGAACTATGTATGTATGTATGTATGTATGTACCTTATGAACTCCGAAGCCGCTTGACAGATTGTAATGAAACTTTCAGGCATAATTAAGCATTATTCAAGGATGGTTTGTGCGTAGCTTGGTGCAGATCCGTCAAAAGGACTCCGCCCCAATGTCGGACTTTTTGAATCTATATAATAATAGGCAAGCATGTTTCTTTAAAACCTTTTTTCTCAGCTTGTTTTCACCACAGGGAAAATCTACGCATACTGTTAGAAAGATATTTTCCTGTAGATGTGCAGAATCCCTTTATAAATTAAAATAGGCAAAAAAATAAACACAAAAATGAATTTGAAATTTTTAAAAATTAACATGGGCCTTATGGGTTGCCATGCCATGCTAGTGACAAAATGACAACAAAATATAAACAGAAAATCAAAACAAATGAAAGAAATTCCAATCACATGGTTTATTTACAGCGTGGGGTGAAAATAGAGAATCCTGTACACTCCATATTTTGGTCGAGTTTTCGACCACTGGACTACCTCTAGTAAATTAATAAAGAACATGATCCATTAAACTTGCATGATCATTTTAAAAGCAAGTACCCAATCACCAAAGATTTTATGATTCTCTAAGCTATAATTTATACCAATAATTTATCTCACCTTCATTTTGTTTCCGGAAACCATCCTCTCCCAGCTCCTTGATCATATTTTGCCGCCACCTGTCCAATATTTGTTTATTTCTATCCGACATGGTATCTTCTATTATTTTGCTAACTGAAGGAAATTTCATAAACGATTTGACAGCTGAGTCGCTGAATGTATAATTATAAACATTTTTGACAGAACACTCTTGAGAAAAAAGCTGACATTTTTCGGGGTTAGATAGTGGATAGTTTTCTTCATTCAATGGTATGGCAGATTTAAAAATAAATTCGTCAGTTGTTAATTTTGGTAATTCACTTTTACTAGGGATTTGGCTGACTACGTCTGTAGTAAACTTTTTAGATGATTTTGACTTTTTAGCTCTGGTCTTAGTGAGCTCTTTATCTGCAGGTCCGGTTTCATAATCATCATGAACTTCATTTCTGGGTGTACCTTCACTACAATTTGTGGTGATACTTTTATCATCAAAGGCTTTATTTACATCCTAAAAAACAATCATAAGTTAGTACAAATAAGCTGTTCTTAAGTTAAGTAGGTTGTTCAACACGAAACCAGAATGGCCTGTTTAACGACTCCCAATATGGTTTTAGTAGCGGTAGAACCACAAATACTGCAGTTCTTAAACTTGCCACGAAGGTAGTTGATGTTTTTTAAAGAGGGAAATTTGGTGGTAGGGCCTACTCACCCTAGCTGATCTAAGCAAAGCTTTTAATTTTGCGTTTCCCACAATCAAATGCTCGACAAGTTACCGATAGGCCTACATCTGTATGGCATTAGGGGGCCAGCACTGCATGCCTTTAAATCCTACCTCATTAACCAAAAACAGATACTGGCAGTAAAAGGGGCAAATTCGCAACCATTGCTACCTAAACATGGCGTGCCCCAGGTATCTGTTTTGGGCCCTGTGCTTTCTTGGTGGTGGTGAAGACCTCGGGCAGTTTGGCAAGGTAATGCTTTTTGTGGACGACGCGACCATCTTTGCGGATGCAAAAACTCTGGAGGAAGCAAGGGTCAAGGCTGAACAGTCCTTCGAGAAAACTAAGACGTGGTTCAAATCAAATAAGCTTTGCCTAGAAATGTAAACAAAACACAACACATGACCTGCAGTCTGGCACGGAATCCTAATCCCAACAACCTGCCTGAAGTAGGCTAAAGTTATTATACAACCAGTACATATTCTAATTACTCTAAACAATTTAAAGACTAAAATTTCCAGTTTTGTACTGAGAGAAGACTACCGGTTACATGATCACAATGACTTACAAGGTCAACCATGATATCCCTATCTGCAGACTGAACAATAAAGGACAGCTTTCCTATGTTGGGAATTAGGATATAAAACCGACTGCCCCTGTACTTTTAAGACCTTGACGCCTCAGGTTTTAAAAACGAACTGAGAGTGGCTACTGGCAAGGCCCTTAAAAGTACTCCTTAGATGATTTTTATAAAATTTGCATTTAGTCTGCCACCAAAACTTGTAAATATGTATATAAATCTAGGTAGCCTAGTTATTTTTTGACTCAGTCTATCTATCAAGAGCTGGTCAGTGGCGTCGGGGAAGTAAATATGCAAGTAGGTACCGTACCTAATCCAACCTAGGTACCTGTCTTCAAAGGACTTACAGTCACTAATTCGCATGAAGCCCAACCGACCACCCTGACATGCCTTTTATGTCCAGTGACGTATTAAACTATCTCCGTCTTTAGGCAGCGAAGTTAGCCGCCCCCTCCCGCCACCACTTGTCACTAAGATTACCCCAATAAATGTCAATAAATTACTGTAGGTACCCCTGTCAACTGATTTTGTAGCAAAGTAATTGGCAATTGCATGCTGAATCAACAAATCTAATATAGACTAAGTTATTACTGTAGTCCTTTTTTACGGACATTTTTGTTTTGTCCCGTTTTCCTGCTAAAAGCATGCAAAAACAGTATGTCCATATTACCGATGTCATACGTGCTGCGGCTGCATAGTAACGAACAATAGGCTCTAGTGAGGTATTAAGTTACACTATATATGTACGGTACTGTAGCTACCTGTGTGTGTGTGTGAGTGTGTTTGTGGGCAGGCAGCCCACGCCCGCGACATGTCTGCGGCAGACCAACAGGGCAGTATGGAAAACACGACACTCAGCTGTATAATAAATTATCGACTTTGACTTTAATGTGTTCTGAAATCATTTTAACTTATAGGCCTTACTTTTTTTTAAGAGGTTGGCAACCTATAAAATCTAGCATTTACCCGTCCACCTACTAAACTGCGTGCGTGGAATGTATCCAGCAAAGCAAGGGGTGAGCCGGTACAGTATAAAGGTGAACTTTCTTTTATCTTTACCGACACTACGCAGGAAACCAAATAATTTAGTAGAAGACTTGTATGTCCACAAGTTGATAAAAGAAAAAGTCGCTGTAGGCCTAACTTATTTTGTAGAAAAAGCAACTTCTAAGTTAATTGCCGCAACTAACTTAACTTAAGTTAGTGGAAATTTGGTGTAAATGTGGCTTTAGTAGGCTAACTTAAGATCTTTAGGCCTAGGCTTTAAAAAATGACTTCCTCGTATTTATTGCAAGGTCCACTGACAGGAGGCTAAGTAATTATTTACCGTAAACACGTTACAGGCAATTAGGCCTAAGGCCTATTGAACAGATAACTTCACATTGGCCATAACTTGGTCCTATTAAGTTACCTCATTGAATATCTAAAGTCTAGTAGGCCTATGGTGTTACTGCAAAGATACCAGTAGCCTTAGTTAGCTGATTAACTCTTTCAATGCGGCCGTCATGTTTACTCTTGAAAATTGCACTTATCTCAATGATAAGGAACCGGTCGCCGGCGACTGACCCGCACGCAATGTGTTAAAGTTGGAAGTGAGTGTAGCCTTTCTAGTCTTGGCCTAAACTGATTTTTGTAAACTAACCTTTACAATTTTCTTTCTTCTTTCCTTTTGAGTTTCTATTAGATTTCCAAACAAATATTTGTTTTCACAGTTCAAAATTTTTATAACATGGAATTTACCACTGCTGCTAAAGCTAGTAGAAAGCGTACTGTCACAAATAATTTTAAAATTTGCTAGTAAGCGGGAGGATATCATATTGTGGAGTTAGGCCTACTAAGTTATGCTTGCACATTCACTTCATAAGTCACACATGTTATTTATTCACAGTTTATTTAATACAACTTTTGATGGTTTAACTTAGTGGAATTACTTATGTTTTAAACTAACTCTTAAAAATTGAAAGAAAATTTAAGTTACGGGTTAGGTTAGGGTTTGTTTGAACTTGAAGTGTTGCAGACAGAAAAAAACCATTTTCCGATTTTCCCATAACCACAAACCACAACACACTATGACTATGACATGGCGTGGCAGGGCATGTAACCACTAGCAGTAAGCTTTCAAAAATAGACTACTGTCACGTAGTATTTCATCATAGATTAAACATACTTTAGGAGTATCAAGCATATTTCAAAATAATATCGTAGAGTTATTATACATCGATGATAATATCAAGCAAAGCCACCCTACATGGCCACCTTTAAGGTGGCCGTACACCCAATCAATAACGGCCACCTTTTAAGGCGGTGCCGGCCTGGCCGTGTATCAAGGCTGCCATCGGGCATCGGCATCAATAACAAAGCAACATTTTTACAGCACTGCCGTTGGTCGTGCATACCTTTTTAGCTGACAACGAACTATTATGCATATTCTTAACTTATGTTGTTAATGTGATTATGCATATCAATACAATGGGCTGCTAGGGTTGCTAAATAATATTAACCGCAACTTATGATGATAACATAACTATGGTGTTTGTTTAAATAATTGTAGGAGCTCAGGTCACCAATAAGAAGTGTCACTCCATTAGCCCACCACCATATGATGTATTATTGCCTAATTAATTGTTGAAGTGCCACAAAGACGGCTTGAAGAGGTGAAGAGTGTGCACTCCCGGATTCATTAACTCGTTACCTTATACCTTATTCAAACCAATCACTGGCTTATCTCACTGTAACTGGCTAAACATGTAGGAAAATAAATATGTCAGTAAAAATAATCTTTTTATAAAGTGCCAGGATTGAGTGACAAACAATACCTTAACGGTATTTTATTTGGTGCCGTGTTTCCCCCGGACGTGCGTGAGGCGGACAGTGCGTGAGCCGGACAAAACTGGTTCGGGTGGGTAATTGAGCGGACGTCTCCCTGCATCTACCCGGCTCGCGGGGAATATCCCCGTTACCGAATCGTCCGAGGAATTATCGCGTTTTGCCTCCCCTATTGGCAAGCCTTATAACTTTTTCATGCTATTTAATATCATAGAACCAACTTTTGTGCAGTTGAAAAGGCTGACAAAATTCTTTAATTTCTTTAAATATGAATACTCATAAGGTTAACATGAGACACTCCATGGCCAGAGCCACTGGGGCGGAAACTGAAAGGAATTTTGAGGTAAGAATATGTCTATATGTTAATCGGGAATGTCAGCTATCGTCATACCAAATTTCAACCTTGTCGGTTTAGTATTCTTCGCGTTTACTTGTCACAAACATCCATCCATCCATCCATCCATCCATCCATACATCCATATACATTAAAACTTTCTTACTTATAATATTTAGTCGGATAAGTAAACCTTTTGTAATATTGCTCGTTTATGAATAGATTTTCTTTAAACTTGGCAAATTTATTTATTTCATACTAAGCTAATAATATTTTTCTAAAAATCACACTCCGTTACCCTCCATGTAGGCAGCAAACCTAGGTACTCGTTAAACCTAACGTTATTGAATTAGATTGAATTGAAAATAAAGCCACACAAATGGAAATTTGCTTTGGCTGCAGGTTTGCTGCGGTGGGGGTATTATGGAATTGTAATTGATGTAGAAAGAAGACTTTGTGGTAGTACATGATTTCTAATACATATAAGATACTAAATAAATCAATCCCGTTGGTCACAATTAGTTGTGCCGGTCAGCCGGTCGCTTGTTATTTTATTGAACTACTGCAAATCAGCGATACTATTCGTATTTGCCAACAGCTATACCCGTGCCTTGCAACGGGGTCAGTATGCAAAAGATACACAGGTTCTTTGAAAATGACAAATGGTTTCACTCCTACCATTTAATTTAGAAACAAACTTTAACTGTATTACTTAACTTGATAATAGTACGTTTTTGTTAACTCATACTGTTAATACTTATTTAGGCTCGGCCTACCTACGATACAAAACCAATGATGGATTTAAAGGTATAATAAAAGAATGTGTTTAATGGTTTGCACTGTAAACGAAAAGCTATCACAATAGTTCCAAACCAAAAAATAGAAAAAAAGGAAAATATAAATAAATATGGAAAATTATGGGTAATTTTCTAACATATTTTTGTGAAATTATAATCAGGCAAATGGAAATTCGCTCAGTCTATAGATTTGCTGCGGCAGGGGGATTATATATTACTGGTTTACACAAAAATAATTCAAAGAAATAAACCTCATAAAACTCACGATAAGGGCCTAGGTTGATACGGCAATGATTATAGAATATTAATTAGTTCCTATACCGGTATCTATAAATGATTTTTTTTACAACAAATTTTTCCCAGTAAAACATTATTACAGCATTTCACAAATATTAGAACAGACTCAGTATAATAGATCATAAACATAAACAAAAGTAACTGAAAGAATCCTATACTTATAAAATCACATTAACATATTATGGTTTGACAGCTCCATTTAAGCATTTCAGTAATATTAAATAATGTTTACAATAGGGCTAGTGACATCATTATTTTAAATTTATAATCCTTACCCTCTCTGTTCTAACATTCGTGCAGTATTTAATTTGTTTGAACCAGCTGTGTGGCTTGTGAAATCAAAATTCATTTGACAGTTTGTTAGTTCTGCTTGTTTAAATTTTTGAGCTTTGTAGGTTTGTTCTTTGTTACCATGGATACCATCAATCAATATTTACTTTTAAATCTCTCACCTCAAATTTTTGAAAGCCCACGGGGCAGAGCCCTAGGACAATATCGAAGCGGGAATAGTTCTATTATGTATCCTCGGAGCTGTAGCTACAGTTGTGTGCAATTTGAGCCCAGTCGGTTCAGTAGTTTTTGAGATTATCTCATACAAACACACAGACACCACCTCTTCTTTATAATAGTATCCTTATATGCATAATAATACGTGAAGGCAATTTCTACGAAAGACTACTCCTCCGTTAATAATGGACGGATTTTTACAAACGACGTGTCAAAATAAAGTATTTTTTGTGTAGACACCCCGTTCACCAATACCTGTAATAAAAGTCCTCAAGCTTTTCCCCACAGGCCATCAATGTTGGAGTTTCTCCCATAAGATTAACATGGGTGAATCTAAATATTTAATTGGAAACTTTGTCCCCACTAATTTGAGAGAACGGCTCGGCGTAGAAACTTGGTAGAGGTGTCCAAAGAAAGGCCTTGGTCTGTAGATGAGGTTATCAAAAGAAAAACATACAAAATCCCTTAGGACTCTGCCCCAGAAGCCTTTAAAGATCCCTCCACAGAGTTGTTTACATTTTGACCATGTGAATAATACTTTTTAATGAAACAGCTGTTCATTTTTAAATTGTATTTCAAACAACACACATTTATTGGGAGTTACTGAATTCTACCAAATAAGTATTTGCAATGTTATTTTCTGATTAAACAAAAATTGATTTTCTTCTTTATCATGTCATGTTTTGCAACTTTCCATTACGAAATCAGTGGAAAACTAGTGGAACCCCGTCGAAATCGACGGTTAATCTTGAGGTTTTATGTAAATTCAGCTAACTGCGTTGGATAGAGTGAAGTCATTAAAATCTTAGTTATATGAAGGGAGGATAAGCAATAATAAGTAGGCCTATGACGATTGTATTCCTTAAAAAACGTGATTGATGAATTCATTTAACACAATATTTCCTACCTTTTTTTATCGGCTTTAGGTTGCCCAAAAGGTTTTTAAGGAGTCTTATAATTGTTTTTTCATGAGTTTGTTTCATACCAAAGCCACTTTCACTATATCGGAGAATGAGTTCATATAATTAGTCTATCATGTTACGGAAAGAGTCAATATTTATTACTAACCACTAATTCCATCTGCTTTAGGAAAATCATTCAGATTGTATCTGGATTTATCTTAAAAGATGTAAATCTTCATCCTTTTTTTATAAAAATATCTGATTCTCCAGAAAGCAGTAACATTCTTACTTCGATCTCAGCAATTTTAAATCCTTCTCTTGCCACATCGACCCATGTATGTAATCATCCTGTTCTTACTTGATAATTCATTAACTTATGGGGTAGTTTTGCCTTGGCCATATAGATCACATAAAGCTGTGCATGTATTTCGTGGATTGGAACGAACCATAATTGTAGGAAATTTTATCACAAATCTTGAACATTTGCGGAACCAAATCCATAACCTAGTCCAGCATTGGTAACAAATTATGCAAATGCGATGAGATTTGATGACACTGTTGTGTTTCCGAATGTTTTACATGTAGTGAGGTTTAGATGCGTTGTTCAACCTAGCTACATGTGTACATCAAAGTAAAAACTGTGTACACATTTTTTTTTAATACCTGAATTGACATTAGTTCACCTACTTTACCAAAACCATAGACTCCGTAGTTAGTCTATTCCAAAACTTGAACACAGCTCTCATCCTCAACGTACTCATCTATGACACAATTTTCAACCCGATTATCAAAAACTGTTATACCAATAAATGAATCTCAGGTGTTCTTTCTTGAATTTAAAAATAAATGGTGATTGAAAGTAGGAAAAAAGGCAAGTGCCAACCTTACAATATGTATAAGCTAACCCGATAAGGAATAGTTATATGTTCCTTTGAAATTAATAAGTCACACTTATTTCGTAATTTAAAATTTTCTAAGAGCAATAAAGCATAGCTTTTTGAACAAAACATTTCAACCGTATCATAAATTCATCATTTTGTTGAAACTATAAAAAACTTGCCATGCAGTGGAGAATCTATACTTATTTAATACGCAAGCAGGATTTTTGTGACAATTACTCCTCCGAAACTACTGAACCGATTGACATGTTTTTGGTGTCATTGGAAAGAGCGTAACGTGAAGTTGTGCAGGAAACTTTCTTTTTAGGTAAATAATTAGAGAGTGAGGCCCTGGGGCCCCTTAAATTTTTGTATTTCTCCATAAGATTAACATGAGAAACAAACATTGTTTCGAAACTCCAGCTGTTGTCAGAAATCAAATAATTGGTCTCCATGGAAGCATGATAAAA